TTGCAGGATGTGATCATGGAACAGAGAACTCATATTTTACTCAGTGTGAACATCTAAATACTAAAAATTGCCCTTACATGGTGAACTTTGTGCTCACAAACAACGCTTTCAGGTGCCATGAACTGTGAAGCATCCTTATCTCTTAGGTATGGGTTGTTCCTACATTTAAATTAAAGACCCAAATCATTTCATAATAAGCATTTCAATGGAAAGTTTAGTTTTATGAGTGATTAAATCTGTCCTTTGGTTCCTCCAGAGATGATAATAGTTGAAAAAGCAAACACTAATGTCACTTTTAAGTGAAATCTACTTGTTAAAAAGTATTTATCTCCCCAAATAATTGTTTCTTAGATTAATTTGATTTTTAGAGAGACCTTTGCGTTCAGATTTTTTTAGGTATTCTAGCTCTCAGACATTAACATGCATTACTTTGACTTTAATTTGTTGATAACTCATTGGTTGCATTAAGTAAATTGTTGGTTTTGTCAACAACCTCTGAGGGTTTGTTGAGGATTAATCAGGTGCTTCTTTTTGGTGTCTTTTATATTTATTTGTCCAACTTAATGCAAAATGTTAGCAAGTGAAAATAGCTTATTTTTCTTTGGCTTTTGTATCTACAAATATCTTGCATCCAATATGAGCCTAAGTTTAATATCATTATTTGTACTTAATGTTTAAAAGATGAGCAGCAAACTCTGGGACACCAGATGTTTGTCAGGAAAGCCTTGCAGGCCTCTGAGGGTCTCCCAGGCTGCAGCATATTGAAACAGCTGAACTATAAAATACAGCAAGCATGAAACAATCGCTGTTAGGCTCCTCAATGTTTCATTGTTACGCCATAGGTTATGCCAGATGTATCATAGTTGGTAAAGCATGGGCCTACTCCTGTGCAAACTGCACAACGTAAAGAAAAAATGATCATAATGCCAATGTCAAGTGTCTTGCCAGCTGCAAACAGATATATTTAAAGATTTGTCTCCTCCAGATTTATTGAGGATGTTGCTGATTTCTCTTTGCAAACAGAATAAATCAAAATAAAAGCAGAAAAAATAGACCAGAAAAAGCATGTCTATGTCTATGTCCATATGCTCCCTCCTGATTTCCCAGTGATAAAATTCAAGACGTTTCTCCCTCATCAATGACTTATTTAGTGAATAGGGTTCACATTAGTGAACAAACAACTTAAAAAGAACTGACAGGCCAGAGAGAAAGTTTGGAAGAAGTTGACAAGTCTGCTACTGGTTCTATTTGGCCTCATGAAATTGTGGCAACAAAAAACAAACATTGCTGGGAAACGTCATGAGAAGTCTCGTTTAAATCATCCACTGATCAGTTGAGACTGAAATCGAAGAACGTTCTTACTTGCAAAACGTTAAGAAAACTAATAGCACAAAACACGGTGCTAATAGCAGTATCATGCCAATGTCATGCTCTGAGATGTTTTCCTTTCAGTCTGGCTGAATCTGAGCTACTTTACAAGGAAAAGTGGGGACAATTGTCAGTAGGTTGTGCAAAGATGGGATACACACACAGCAAAAGGCTCTTTACTGTAACAAAAAGTGTTTTTTATAAAGTACTGCCTCATGGATGTTGGGCATAATATAAATGTCTGCCAAGCATTTCTAATTTAATTTTTTTTAAGTGTAATTCTCCTTCCAGTTCACAATAGATTAAAATTGTTATTTCATACACTTTCATTCGTTGATAGCTGTTGGTGAATTCTCCCCAGTTTTTGTAATATTTGTTCTTGTTTCTGCAGAAATGTAAAAGAAAGCAGTAAATTAGGGTAGACGTAGGTGATGTAATAGTGGTTCGATGGGGAAGGTAAAAATCCCATCATATCGATAAATAAATTACCGTATTAATAGTAGAATACATGGCCCTGCATCATAAGGTAATATAGCTCTAATATCTGCTAAGCATTGATTAGCTCTCTGATCTGCAGGTGCATCAAATTAGCCGAATCATTCACTTTGGATTCCTCACATATTTTTTAAACCAACTTTTGTTTCTCCTTCTTTCAGTCCAAGCGGGGAACCAGTGGCCTTTGTCACCAAATCTCCTGCTATGAATAGTGATTTCACTGGTTTTTCCTCCACACCAGTGCTTGCTGAGAGGTCTTCCCCCCTGAGACCTTCCCCTTTGACCCCAACAAATGAACTCCTGTGAAGCACATTAAAAAAACAGGTTCACGATCCTTCAGTGGTTCACGATGTTCAGTGCTGTGGACTGGACTCTGTTTGAGAAATTTAGGTGAAATGCATGAAGACCTGCGTTACAGTAGGAGTTGGGATCTTGCCCCTTGGCATAGTGTGATCATTTTGTGAACACAGAGACAAAGTTTAGGTCACTCTGTCCGTGTTAAAGCCCAGCTGGTCTTGGGAGCCTGCTCCAATCAGCTCCAAAAAGATGATATAATTACCAAGGCAAGATAGGATGAGGCCACCGCCTCTGCAGTCCTCCCGTCTCCTTCTTGCTTCTATCACATCTATTCTCTCCAGCTCTATACTCGCTGATTGTCCTCCCCTCCCTCATTGTTCCACCATCCCTCCCCAACAACAGGCCAATTTGTCCCTCCAGTTTGGCTCCCGCCTTCCCTCCTGCTGCGTTATTTAGCCTCTTTTCTGCACTTCAATGGCAGGTACTGATTAGGGAACTTCCACGACGTCTTTGCGAGTCCTCAAAAATCCCTCCTCCCCTTCCCAGCAGCCTTTAATCTGATTACAGGCTTTCTGCAGCTTTTCAGAGGAGTCCAGTCCCAGGAGGACAATAGCAGACCAAGTGGTTTCACAAACACTCTCCCCAGGGTCATATGATCTACGAGGAGAGGTGTGTTTGCTCTCTGCTGGCATCAGGTCCCTGGACGCGCCATAATTTAAGAGAAACATCTCTTTTAGCAAACTGTTCCTGATCCTCCTCCATCTTTTCTTCAAAGAACATTTCTAGATTCTTAACATGCTTTATTTGAGCTAGTATTTATTGTGTTGTCCTGCTTTTCTATATTTAACATGACAAAAAGCCATTTTCAAACCTTCTAAACGTCCTGAAGTACCAACATTCACACAGCGCTATAGTAAAAATGTATTTAAAGCAGTGATTTCGTTTCTATGCTCCAGTCTGTTTCATATGTCAGAAAATCCCTGTCAGATTTTGTCTTAAAAATATACTTTTTTCTTTGGTATTTTTTACCACAATCATCAAAGAACAAATGGTTTTTCCAGAAAACCTCAATAGCTTTCCTTTAATTGGCTTTAAATACTTTTAACTTTGCTCAAATTAATCACAATTCTCTTGAAATTGTTTTAAAGCTCTAAGCTCGTTGTTTAAAATCCACAGAATGTTAAAACTTCTGAGTTTTGATGCCATTTATACAGAAAAACAAACCTTAATGCAACCCTGCAGTTGAGTGCACCATCTTTTATTAGAGGCATTTAAACGGATAAAGTCCCGGACTCTGTGGAAGTTATTGTACTCGGACTCTGAGGTGACAGCAGCAGCGTCAGCCCTCAGTTAACCTGTTTAACCTCATCCTTCAATAAAGCTTCTGCCAGCAGCTAACCTGACAAAACCAGCATGCAGCATATGTCCAGCCTCTGTTTTCGCAGTTCATTAATGTCAGAGTGATTGGTCAGGAGATGATCCTATTGACCGGTCTGTCCGAGCATCATTACCATCAGAATGAAAGGGTGCGAAGAGGCCAGAGGCCTCGGGGCAACAAGTGTCCAAAGACCTCAGGGAGCCGCCTTAACAATCTGAACCTCTCCATCCTCACAGCTGACGTCACAGAGAAAAGTCCCTGCAACATCACAATGACCCCAAATCTGACAAAAAGTGTGCGAAAAATAAAAAGCACAAAAAAACATGTATTGATCTTGAAATGGACTAAACATGTAAAAAAAATCCCTCAAACATTACAGAGAGATTGGTGGATGACTACTAGAAATATCTCACTGAACTTAAACACCAAGAGTATCATCATTCCAGGATCTACAATAGTGTAACAAAAAATCTATCAATCTTAAGGATTAGAAAACAAAAACAGATTAAATAAACATTTTTAGCCTTTTGCCAGTTTGTTAGTGAAATGTGTAGCGATTTGGATCGTTTCATTGTCTGCATTTAGCCATTTTCTTTGCAGCTTTGTTTCTCTGTGAAGCGTCAGGATTCCAAAGGAGACGATAAGTTATATTCCAGAAAAAAATCTGGAGGGAAAAATGTTGTTTAAGGCATCAGACCCCTCACTGTCTGTTAGACAGCAAGACCAACAATAATATTTTTTTTTCTTGTTGGATTGAAATAGACTAAAGAAACTTGACTGGTTTTTTCTGCAGTGCTGAATTGGAAAAAAAAAATTAAAATCCTTTGTAAAGAAAAAATATAAAAAATGTCAGAGATTCAGGAAAAGTTTCCTGACTTAAGAGTTGCACTTTGTTTTATTACTAACATCTCCTGCTTAAACAATTATTTCTACTGTAATCTCATTTACATCTCTTTACTAAATTTGGTCTGTTTATAGATAATGTGGGGCCAACAATCATTATATATGATCTTTAATGAAAATAAACTAATGAAAATTTGCGCCCGACAACCTTTAACTGCACTAATTTGTTATGCAGCGCCTCCCTGTGGCTTAAGGTAGGAAAATCCAGATATTTATATTGCATTGTTTTACATCTTATTTTAGTACATGAGAGAAATTTGGCCTTTTTGGGGAATTATTAAATTTTTTCCTTTGATACGTCTTATCACAATGGCCACAACTTTTTCTTACTTCTTCTTAAAATTTGTGTGTGTATAGGTGTGTGTGTGTGTGTAAGTGTGCGGGTGTGTGTGTATGTGGAAATCCGGTGCACATCTTTTCTTTTCAAGCATTTTAAGTTTTTTCACTGATGCATCTTGTAATTCCAAAAGTATTAAATAATCCACAAACTGTGACATTACAGCTGTTTGATTACAAATTATAAACATGTAAGCGATTACTGAAAAACATTTATGATTCCTCAGTATTTTTATTTTTTATTTTTATTTCAGGTAAATACAATTTCATCTTACAAACTCTAGAACAATAATATGTCAATAAGAGAATTAACTTTCAAAACCGTTAGTTTCAAAATAAGATGCCTATAAATATGTCTGGCATATTATTTTACATACGACTGAGGTTTTATTGGTCGTGAGGTTTAATGCTACATGCTGATAAAAAACTGATATAATTTTTTAAATACACAAGACTTTTCAACCCTTACTGTCTCATAAACCTTTACAAACAATTCGGTTCATGATGCAGACATTAATGTTTTATGTTTGAAAGCTGAGTTTTCCTGGTGATGCACTTCCTTTGGCGACTGGAGTTAACAATCAACACTCCAGCAATAAAACTAATCATAGTTACTCTGTCAGAATTAATGATAAATGCAGACAACTATGGATGTAGAAACGTTATTTAAACCTGCCATATTTGACAACACCAGCCTTATCCAAACCTGATTATTTCCTGTTTGCATTACATAAAATAGCACACTTTAAAAGCCTTTTTCAGCTACACAACTTTCTGTTGTAAATTAAATTACTTTAGACATCATTACATTGAAAAAGTATTGAGAAAAATCAGCTTATAGAACATAAAAACATCCAATGTCACATCATACAGGCTGAAGTAAGTCACATGGTCACAGCAATAATTTACAAAGGTCCACGCTAAATCTGATTGAATTGATTTTAGATCTAAAAATAAACACATTTAACATTTTAGTTTCCAATAATCAGATCCAGACCCGCAAAGTAAAAACCTTCTTAAATTAAGTTGCTGAAGAGCTGCACTGTGTTCAAATTTAAATCAACAGCTTGTCTCTAACTCTGCTCTACACAGAAACTGGACTCGGTTCTGTCAGGAAAAAAAGAAGAAGAAGGTGACAGTTAGCTAGAAGTTCAGAAAAACAGGGGCAAAATATTGTAAACATGTGAATCCGCTTACATGTCTTGGCCTTTGTGAATCATGTGGTTGTTGTACTCCAAAACAGGAGGAAGGGTCTCCTCCTCTTCCTCGGGAAGCTGCAAGATTTTATTGGTTTGAGACGAAATTTAAAGGGAAAGAGCACCATCTAGTGGTGGAAAAAGTGATCTCACCTCCCAGTAAGCCTCATCGTCGAAGCAGTGATCATCAGCAGCGTCACCCCAGATAGGAATCTTCAGGATCAACCCTTAAAAAAATTACAAAAAAAATACCTCCAGATATCTCATTTCAATGTACATGTATACTCATTTCATAAAGAAATATTAGTATGCTAGTAATTATGGCAGAAATACTGTCAGTCTGACTCAGATCTAATGTTTTTTTAATATCTAACACTTTGAAAATGCATTGCCGAAATAAGCACTGAAGCCAACTGCATCTCACTATTAAATACTCACCAACAATGGCTCCTCCAACCAGTCCAAAGGCGATCGACACACATGTCCCAGCAGCTTGATATCCTCCCTGCGTTCCCATTCCTCTGTTTGCATATTTTCCCTCCTTATCAAATACATTTATCAGCCTAGGCGGAAATAAAAATGTAGATTAAGAAGTATGTCAGATTTTGATGAATGGTTGACACATCTTTAAATCAGTTGCTAATCTAATAGTCTGATGAAGTGAGGAGATTTTGTTGGTAGCACTATCTGTCTGGAGAGCTAAGGTCTGGGGTGTGTCAAAAGGAAAAAACATATATTGTCTTTGTTGTCTGCATCTTTCTGGTGATTATTTTGATGTAAGCATCAAATCAGTGGTCTGACCGATAACTTTAGTTGTGCCCTGCTTTTGGCTGACAACACTGAAAGAGGAAACTGAATTGCTTGGGATTTGGCCTATAAGTGGTCTTTGATTTGTGCAAAATGGCCCCAAACTGAGTCAAATATCAGAAGGTAAATCTATAAATTGATAAATAAAAAAGGTTCAACAGCAAATACATTCTTTATATTTTTGTTATATTGGCTCATTTGAGAAAACAGGAGGGGCTGCCATAGCTAAAGATGTCTGGTCAGGGTTGAATGAGGTTTGAGTTATGACTGTGTTCATTTGGCTCACCCTTCTTTACTGTAGACATCTTCATTAGCTGTTGCAGCAACAATAGCACCAATGAAGCCGCCAAGCATTCCTGGGACGGCATGCAGGTTGTGAATACCACACGTGTCCTGGAGCTTTAGAGTTTTCTCCAAAAAGGGCTGTAAACAAAATTAAAGTTGTTTTCAGAAGTACTTTCACTTTTCACTACATTTTCATTTAATATTGAAAATGCAGATGTGCCTAAAATAACTCATCTCAATAACTTGGTACTTTCCTGCAGACCAACATGCTGCCAACTTTCTGTTTAAAACACATTCTTGTCCTTTTTTTTACCTCTACATCTGCAGATGACACAGTAAAAATATGCAGACTTACTGTGACGAAGACGTAGCCGAAGGTGGAGATGATGCCCATGCAGAAGCCCACAATGAGCGAGCCGTAAGGAGTGATCATAAACTCTGCTGAGGTTCCCATGGCTACAGCACCCGCCAGAGTGGCATTCTGGATATGAACCTATTGCATAAAGGGGGAGGAGGACATGTTACTCATGACTAATATGAGAGATATTGAGTTATTAAGAGATCCTGCTTCAGTAAACGTACCATGTCCAATTTTCCTCTTTTATGGAACATGCTGGACAAGGCGACGGCAGTGAGAACGGAGGAGGCGAGGGCGATGTAGGTGTTTATGAACGCTCTGTGCTGTCCGTCGCCGTGGTCTGCGATAGCTGAGTTGAAGCTGGGCCAGTACATCCACAGAAACAAAGTACCTGAAATCAGATTAATAATTTGTCTAAAAATCTGTGAGAGAAGAGTTCCACATTCTAAGCCAAAATAAAGCTTTCGTTACCAATCATTGCAAACAGATCCGAGTGGTAGTTGGACCCGTGGAGCTGTTTACTTTGATGTAAGTTTGGTCGATAGAGCACCCAGGAAATGGCCAGTCCATAATACCCTCCAAAGCAGTGGATGACCATGGATCCCCCAGCATCTCTGCACTGTAACGTCAGCAACACGTCAGGGAAAACTCTCTCCAAAGTGAATGAAATCTGGTTTGATTGGTTAATAGACTCACGTGAAGCAGATGAAGGATGATGTATTCCTCCACAGCAAACAAAGTCACTCCAAACAAGGTGACAACCATGAGCTGGACGGGGCTCACTTTACCCAGCAGGGCGCCGAAGGCGATCAGAGAGCCGGCGCAGCAGAAGTCTGCATTGATGATGCTGTTTGGAAGAAGGAGAGTTCAGGTTCAACTGGAAATATGTCTTTCACAGATCATATCAGCTGACAGGTGAAAGAATGTAGTTTCACTTTAGTTACATATTAAACTCCACAGGGAAAAGAACTTACTTCTCAACCCCAATGTAGATTTTTCCAGTTTCCAGATCAAAGAAGTGGAACCAGCCCTGCATGAGAAGAGCCCACTGCAGGCCGAACGAGGCAATCAGGAAGTTGAAGCCCACGCCGCCGTAGCTGTAGCGTTTCAGAAAGGTCATGAGGAAACCAAATCCAACAAAGATCATCACATGGACGTCCTGGAAGCCTGCAGGTGTAGAAACATACGCCAGGGTTGTTATGTAACAGCTTATTCTTAAAAAAAAAATAAATATCTGTACAACTCCAACTCCAATCTGCAAGATTAAAAAGTGAGGTCATTTTAATTCTGGAAGTTTCATTTATGATTTTTTCCTTGAAGAGCAATAATATTTTATGAGAGTAACTTGTGGAAGACAAGGATTTTTGTTGCAGATTGTAGTTTTGCGCACCTGCTGCCAGTTCAACTGCTATTATCAGGCTACCCAGATAAAAGATATGACAATAATAAACAGATAATTTTTTATTAAATATTTTTCCATGAATTAGTTCTTAGTTTCTGTAAACACATGATGTTTTCTTTGGCTCTAAATTTTCTCTGACAGAAACAGAAACCGGCAAAAGCACATACTGCATTCAGACATTTTTTATGTTTTCTCAGACATCCATCACACCTGCATTAAAGTCTCTGGTAACTTTTTCATACTTACTGGGATATCTGAAGTAGAAGTCATTGTCAATGTCGGTCAGGTTATTTTTATGTTTGTACTCCACCCAGTGTGCGTCTGATTCTTTGTCATAGCGGATGAAAACCCCAAACAGGATGATCATAGCAATCTGCCAGACGAAGCAGACGGCTGGCAGACTCACACGGACGTAGGTGTTCTTCTGTGGACCCAGTCTCTCGCAACAGTTCCCCATGATGATGGTGCTGATCCTTTCCTGGTACTGGTCCTATCAGTCCGGTGACCCGACTGTGTCTTGCATTGGCATGTTTGTTCTTTATAAAGTGACTTTACTGGGGGCGGGATCTTGTCTGCCACCCTGAAGCAAGGTGTGTCATTATACCTGCTGAGAACATAGCCACTCCTCATCTAGACTGGTAATATCACTTCTAGAAAAAGTTGCAGGAAACACAGCACAGACAGAAGGTGCTACTGAAATTAACTATTAAAAAGGAAAATGTTTGCATGTCCTCATTTCATGCTTTTTCTCTAAATGCTTAAAAAAAAGTTGCAATATTGTTTGTTTAATTACTGGAAAAGGTTTTTGAGTTTCAGCTTTTTGTGAATAAGTTAAACTTTTATTTGGTATCAGAGACACATAAATCTCTGTCATATTAGTAACTTATAGTTAACGTTTTAGGGACTATGAATATTTAAAGAAATTAGAGATTAACTTATTTCTGACATGGAATAAAACCCACTTTTTGCACAATTTTTAAATAGAAAAAAAAGTCAGTCCAAAAGATTTTTTTATTATTATTATTATTATTGAAAAATGCCTGTAAAATGTCTTTGCTGCAGCACCAGATTTAAAACTGATTGCACTGCACAGGCAAAAAGCAATAGGATATACAATATACTTGAATAATGTTGACAATCGAGCATCAGAAAATTAGACACAGTAACAGAATCTTCTATGATCTTTTCTGATTAATTCCTGGAAAAGGAGCGCTAACCTGAAGAAACTGGGTGCAGAAGATCAGTGACTGAACGAATACTGCTGGTACATTTGTTAATTTGGAAATGTTTGGGTGAGAGTTACCGCACATCAGATCACGTGTGTGGGAATTAAAAGATGTTGGAGGAAGTGAAGAAGGTCTGACATCAAATTAACATCAGTACAAAGTAATTCTGAGAGAAGGTGAAGTTTAATAAAAAAACAAAAATCAAGCTTAGATTTCCAAATGTCATTTTCTAAATGATGATTGAGGAGGGATTCTGGGTTGAGTTCCAGAAATTCAAAAACTCTTTCACTGGTGGATTCAAAATGTACACGCAGTTAATCGCAAAGCAAAACATTTAAATGAGAAGATGAAAGAAAAAACACTTCAATGTCTAAAATATATATTCAAAATATAAAATAGAGTTCCTCAATAAGCTCAGGCTGAAAAGAAGATCTGTTTTCACATTTCAAAGTAAAACCTGAAATGTAACTATTTTTAATTAGATTAAAAATAATGACAGTTTGCAGGTCAACATGTCATATTTAGAATAAAAAAAAACATATTTTCTTCATCATTATTTTCATATTTTATCTGTTTAATGTGTCGCCGCCAGAAGTTTTGACCATTTTCTTCATGCGAGGAACATCTTTGCCCACATACAAAGTCACATGCTCAGCACTTTTAAAAATGTTTTGTGTGATTCATATCTCACTGAACATCTGACTAAAGATAAATTACAGTTAAAGAGTTCATCATATTTCAGGTATGGCTCCATGATTGACACCTAGGACATTCCAGTAGATATCTGTTTTCTCATTTAAACATATTGACCTCATACTTATGTAACACTGGCTTGGCAGAGATCTTGTGATAAATTCCCAGGATTCTTAGGAGTTATGAATGATATAACATTTAATTGAACAACGCTAATGATGTTGAGTGCAGAGTTAATGGTCTGGAGTTTGTTAGTGTCTCCAAACTGCTGTGTTTTTATTTTTCAGTTTCTAGAAGAGCTCATTTGTTTACAAGAGCATCTAAAAAACAAAACATTAACGTGTTTTCTTGTAGGTATCTGAGTTGCACCGAATGCCAAACGAATGTAAATTTGAAAGCAAGATTTTGTATTTCAAGTGAAAAAGTGTCAGATCCTTTCCACATTTCGTCTTGTTCCTTCTTTGCACACTGACATTTTTCAGATAGTCAAACCAATTTTAGCATCAAAAGTTTCTGAATTATGATTTCCTTCATTCAGTGAAAAACATATCAATTGGACCCGACCTCATGTGAAAACAAACATTGGTAAAAAGGATGCATGGCAGCTGGCAAAGACTCACTGATCACTGTGGAGAGGTTTGTTAATTCATCCCTCTTCGAGGATTTTCAAGCATAAATATTGGAATCAGATTAAAGTCCAGACTTTGACTAGGCCCTTGCAAACCTTCTCATTTTTAGCCACTTAGAAATGGACTGGCTAAAATGTTTTGAGTCATTAGAGCTAAAGTTCACAAACTGGTAGTCAGAAGTTTTCTTTTAGGCTTTATTTATTTCTGCAGAGCCGAATCCATGTTTCCATCACTTACAAGGAAATCATCCAGAACCACCAGCATCTCTCCAGACCAGCATATTTCCACTATCAGGTTTGACTGCTGGTGTTAATTTAAACTTTTAACCATTTTCAACCAATAAATCTCACTACCTTCGTTTCTCATCTGCTCTTAAAGGCATTTAAATCAAAGTAGAGTGTTGACGTCCTTACTTTTCTTCTGCCCACTTCATGTTGTGAAGTGTTCAGTTCAACACTTTGGAAACAATTGTTCATTCACAGTTGATGGTTAAATCAGATTGTTTGGGATATTTATTTTTTCTTTAGTAAAAGAAACCATAATTACAATTTTTATTTTAAAGTGTGTCGTTACCCAAGTCAGATTACATACATCATCAGGTTATATCTGTGTTATTAATATTTAATACCTTAGCTCAAATAGCTTCTCAGCGAATAAGCAATTCTATTCTACTCTATTCTATTACATTATATTCTATTCTAGAGGTCTGATGCTCAAGTCTGTTTAAAACATTTTAATATAATCTACAAAGGATGTATGTGAGGGGAAAACACTTTATAGCTCGACATGTTTTTTATCTTCAGCAGAACTTTTGAGCATCTGGACTATATTTTCTATTTTTATCATGCTTATTTTCCACTATATTTACAATGTTGTTTAGTATTTCAATTAGCCAATATGACCAATTAGCCAATATGACCAAGTCAAAATTAAATTAACTTTATCAAGTTTGACAAAAGCATAAATGCTGCAAAAGTAGTAAAGAGATAATGATGTATCTGTTAAAAGATGATTTGGTCCTCCATATTCATGCAGCTGAAAAACCCTCAAACAAAAATAATTTTTGGGGGGTTGTGCTGGAAATGTGGATGTCATATAAGTTTACAGAGCAGATAAATTACCAAATGTTTTATTAGGATTATATGATTTTATTATGTGTTCATGCAAAGTTTAGAAAGTATAGAAAGTCTCTAAACTAAAGTAATTTACATTTGTCAGCTCACTTTGGGTGGATCAGAAAATACAATATTTAAACTCCCTAAGCAATGTCCCAACATCAGCTTCAGTCAGTTTTCCTGTTCAGCTACAAAATAATTCAGGAGTTGTTGAGTTTATGCTCTTTAGAAGTTAAAGAAGGAAACGTTAGTCTGTCTTAATGCATATAATATTTATTTACTTCTCCTTATTTAACAGTGAAACCAGCTGACCTTTAATACAGTGAGAAAAACTGGTGAAAGTAAAAGTTACAGAATTAATTCAAACAGAAAAAGTATGAAATCATAAAAACAGGGCATCATTAGAAATAAAAAAAATGTATTTATTAATCCCCTACAAAAGAAAATGCGTTGAACAATACTTACTACCAATAGACCTTTTTCACGCTTCCGGGTTTGAAAGCGGATGTGGGGTTGGACAACTTCTGGTGGCTATAGCGTTAGCATTAAAAGGTTAGGAAAATGGCTCAGTCTCAGCGCAGTTGTTTTTGTTCCGTCCCTGGTTGTTCATGTGGGGCAAGAAAACAGCCTTATCTGTCATATCATGCGTTCCCGACGAACCCGGACCAACGGAAGCAGTGGATCCAGGCGATCCGAAGAAATGAAGGTCCGGACTTTTGCATAAAGACGGGGAGCACTTTCGTATGCAGCCGTCACTTCACACCGGAGGTTTTGTTAGCGGATCCACCACGAGCCGTCTTAAAAGTGGAGCTGTTCCTTTCCTGTTTGCCTGGAATAACTTCACTGCACCGGCAATGAGAGAGTCTGCTTTCGAGAGGGCTAAGAAACGGCAGTTTGTCCTCTCTCAGAAAGCTAGCCAGGCTGAAGATGCTACTGCGGACCATGACTACACGGCACATCCACCCGCAGGGGCCGGGGCGGTTGTGCGCATGCGCGGGCCCGGGCGGTTGTGCGCATGCGCGGGGTTGGGGCGGTTATGCGCATGCGCGGGGCCGGGCGGTTGTGCGCATGCGCGAGGCCCCGGTGGTTGTGCGCATGCGCGGGGTTGGGGCGGTTGTGCGCATGCACGGGGCCGGGGCGGTTGTGCGCATGCGCGGGGCGGAGGCGGATGTGCGCATGCGCGAGGCCCCGGTGGTTGTGCGCATGCGCGGGGTTGGGGCGGTTGTGCGCATGCGCGGGTCCGGGGCGGATGTGCGCATGCGCGTGGTTGGGGCGGTTGTGCGCATGCACGGGGCCGGGGCGGTTCTGCACATGCGCGGGGCGGAGGCGGATGTGCGCATGCGCGAGGCCCCGGTGGTTGTGCGCATGCGCGGGGTTGGGGCGGTTGTGCGCATGCACGGGCCGGGACGGTTGTGCGCATGCGCGGGGCCGGGACGGTTGTGCGCATGCGCGGGGGCGGGGCGGATGTGCGCATGCGCGTGGCCGGGGCGGATGTGCGCATGCGCGGGGCCAGGATGGATGTGCGCATGCGCTGGGCCGGGGCAGATGTGCGCATGCGCGGGGCGGAGGCGGATGTGCGCATGCGCGAGGCCCCGGTGGTTGTGCGCATGCGCGGGGTAGGGGCGGTTGTGCGCATGCGCGGGGCCGGGGCGGTTGTGCGCATGCGCGGGGCGGAGGCGGATGTGCACATGCGCGGGTCCGGGGCGGTTGTGCGCATGCGCGTGGTCGGGGCGGTTGTGCGCATGCGCGGGGTAGGGGCGGTTGTGCGCATGCGCGGGGCCGGGTCGGTTGTGCGCATGCGCGGGGCCGGGTCGGTTGTGCGCATGCGCGGGGCCGGGGCGGTTGTGCGCATGCGCGTGGTCGGGGCGGTTGTGCGCATGCGCGGGGTTGGGGCGGTTGTGCGCATGCGCGGGGCCGGGGCGGTTGTGCGCATGCGCGGGGCCGGGGCGGATGTGCGCATGCGCGGGGCCGGGGCGGATGTGGGGTTGGACAACTTCCGGTGGCTATAGCGTTAGCATTAGAAGGCTAGGAAAATGGCTCAGTCTCGGCGCAGTTGTTTTTGTTCAGTCCCTGGTTGTTCATGTGAGGCAAGAAAACAGCCTTATCTGTCATATCATGCGTTCCCGACGAACCCGGATCAACGGAGGCAGTGGATCCAGGCGATCCGAAGAGATGAAGGTCCGGACTTTTGCATAAAGACGGGGAGCACTTTCGTATGTAGCCACCACTTCACACCGGAGGATTTTGTTAGCGGATCCACCACGAGCCGTCTTAAAAGTGGAACTGTTCCTTCCCTGTTTGCCTGGAATAACTTCACTGCACCGGCAATGAGAGAGTCTGCTTTCGAGAGGGCTAAGAAACGGCAGTTTGTCCTCTCTCAGAAAGCTATCCAGGCTGAAGATGCTACTGCGGACCATGACTACACGGCACATCCACCCGCAGGTAAAAGATAGTATATTGAATATATTTTCCATGTAAGAGAATTTCAGTAAAATATAACTGTTGCTATATTATTATTATTATTATTATTATTATTATTATTATTATTATGATCACATAATAATGAAATTATGAGATTTATTTTGTTAATCTCTCAGAAACCATCAACCAAAACAGATCCGAGTACTGTGACGTCTGCTAAGATTCCCCAGAGGACCCTTTTAAACTGAAAATGCATAATTAAGATGTTTTTTAACATCTACTGTGTCAGTTTAGTCCTGATTAATAATCATATTTAAAGAGTTTACAGCTGGATTTAGCTCAAAGCCCACAGGATGCTGTTTAAACAAGAGTTCAGGTGCAACAGTAGCGTTTGTTTGCACGTTGCTGTTACAGATTCCTCTCAAGTCTGAATCACCTGCAGACTGCACCAGAAAGACGACTGCAATCTATCACTTTTATAGTGAGTGAGAGCTCTGTTACAAAACAATGTTCACTTTACATTTTCCATCCATTGGACAACAATGTAATGAATTTTTGAACAGGGAGTGCTCAGGTATGCTTGGGTCAAAAACAAGCAATTAAATTATCAATGCGTATAAGTATATTCTTTAATATACGTGGATATATTCATAAGGTATGAGTACATCCAGATTTGAAGTCAGAGAGTTTGAGCCAAACCAGACCTGCTTTGTTCCTACAGCAGCTTAATTAAAGTTTACTTTAACTTTACATTACCGTCAATCTTCTTAATCTTGCTTTGTGATTTAAGAACCAGGACCGATTTATGGGGAGGCAAATATTATTAACAACTTGTATTATTCAAGTTGAGTGCTGAGGACCACACTTCAGAATTTTAATCTGTTCACCTTTTTGATGTTTGCTGTTGTAAATGGATATTAGATGTAAAATTTACACCTGACATTATTGTGCATTTCAGCCTCAACTATGTTAAAACTGCTATAGCAGAATAAACCTCGGTTATTTTCACATAAAATTTCTTACAAAGTAAAAAAAAAAAAAAAAAGTTACATCAATGAGTTTTTGCAAAACATAATTTTTTTGTTTTTAACGCAGGTTTAAAACACATGCCCATGTGAGTCCACAGGAGCTGCAGACCCAACCTGCATGTCAATGATGACATGCAAATTTCGAGCAAAAAAGCGAAGCAACTGTGGAAAGCTGTCTGTAAGCGAAGTGACAAACACAAAGAAATAAAGAAAAGAAATTAAATATTGCCCCGAAGAGATGCAACATGTGACAGAGGAGCAGTATGGAGGTTTCAGATCTAATCAGATGAAGGAATCCGAGTTATGCTTCGTCACATGGCGTGGTGCACAGCACTGCAGTGATCGCAGCAAAGATACAAAGAGCGGCTGTCAGTCTCAGGTAAGTGCCCTTCAGTTATTCAAACAAAAATAACACTTTGAAGATTCCCCTGTTGTCTGGTGCTGCGCATCCAGTGCTGATTAAATGGAGATGAATGCACATCCGAACACAAATCGGATGTGCACTTCATTATGTTGTTCAGTGTTTCCCCACAGCGCACGAGTCAAAGTGGGCACACTTTGATCTAATGTGCCAACCTGCACAAAGTGACTAATATTGGAGGAATTTGTTACAGAAACCGCACAGAGACTGATGCCATGGAGATATCGGAGCGTCGGCCGATCGGTGACGGAAACCTGCCTCACTGCAGGCGATGCGTCTTTCTGATAATTTTCAGCATGAAGAACAGAAGGCGCTTTGCTACTCACATGCTGCCTCATGCGACAGCATGCAGAGATCTTTCTGCAGGAGTTCCGTCACATGCCGCAGGTGGACGCACAGGTGACATAATGGCAGTGACCGAGAGCAGCCTCCATTCTCAGGTGGAGCGACATCAGTTGTTGTTGTTGTTGCACTTGCAGCTTCTTCTTCTTTTTCTTTTGTTTGTTTTATTTTGTGGATCAAATCATGTCTATTTAAATGCACACTGATGTTGACAGTGCAATGTGTCTTACACAGCAGGTTATTTCATCCTCCACATTGATTAAGTAATGTTTCTCTGGCTGTACATGTGGTTATTTTGGAAAGTGGTTTATTAAAAAAAAATTAAGCTCACATAATCCACCTTATTTGTTTTGCTAAATTTAAACAAAATTTTAAAAACAAGTTTTCAAACAATTAGTTTTTTTTTCTGCCTGTAATCATCCAAAGAGCAGATGTGATTATTTCTCTTCCTAGTTTGTTCATAACAAACGCTAAAATATGTGTCAATAAAAACATTATCCTGAAATAAAAAGTATTGAATTAAAAGCTGCAGTCTTATTTTTTGATTAAAATATATTTGTACTTACAAAATGCTTAGAGAAATCTGGAAACAGACAGGGGGGAAAGCATTTCTGTTTTTAGAGTTTTCCCTAGATTGTTTTCCAATTGTGGTTCATTGGAAAAACATAGGATCTTAATTAAATATTTATTTTCCAATTAATTTCTAAAAGTTCAAAACAATAAAACAGTTTACCTTTTGTAATTGATTAGATAATGACTTATGTAGTAAAAAAAAATACTCTGAGATTATGTGAACTTGAACATCTAGTTAGTAAGTGTTAATGTGTTTTCTCCAGACAGATTTACTATTAGACGAAAGAGTTAAGGTACCAACTCTCCAAAAACAACTCCCTGCTGTTGTCTCATACAGACACTTTAACAGTGTTGAAATCAAATGTTTGGCCTAATCTTAATTAGGTCAAACTACTGGATTTGTTGTGTACTTAGAATCGCAGTTAAAACTCAGAAGTGCCTGGAAACCTGACAGTTGACAAATGATTTGTCTGATTAACTAATCCTTCACTCAAGCTTCAAAAGAGCAGGGAGGAATCTTCTCCTCGCGCAAAAAACTTTGCTCTGTTCGTGTTTTGTTTCCTTGAAGGCAAATAAATCACAACTCTTTCATCAGGCGAACTAAACGTTACATAAAAAACAAGCTCAACCAGTGAGGTTTCAATTACAAAACCGCCACTGGGGGGATGGAAAGTGTCGACTGATGCGGGACACACCTTCCTCTTTGCACGAACTGCATAGAGCTTTATCTAGTCTGGAGGACTCCAAAGCACCTCGAACTACGTTCAGCCATTCATGCACTGATGGTGGAGTTACATTGCAGCCGCAGCTCCTCTGTGACTGACTGAAATGAAAATGGTTCCACTGGCCCTGTTGGCAACCAGGAGGCAAAGCAGACGAAGGTGACTGAAATGGACATTACTATCCACCCTACAGGATGAACTCTGACCTCCTCAGCCACTGTCGCCCCATCATTCTCATGCATTGTTTGGGAATCTCTAGCCATGATATTCAATTTCTAATAAAAATAGCAACAGTAATTCGTATTGTACTTGAAGGCTTGAAAGTTTTTTTTCTCTCTTATCCACGGGATTAATCTCAAATTAGGTTTGAAGCATGAAGTCTCAAAGCATGCGCTCACTGCAAAGAGGATTATCCACACTGAAATGTCTAATCCACATTAAATAAACGTCAAGAAAAGAAACTGCACATATTTTCATGATTATTTAACTTGATCTAATCTGTGCAGGTGATACAAAGGACCAGACAAAGGAGTTTTCTTAGGTCTCTGGTGACAGTATGTAACCTCTGAGCGACTTCACACACCCAGACGTGTGTTTGTCACTCAGCGATGTCACCTGCTCGCTCTCTAAAGTGCAGCTGTCAGCAGATGTTTTCTCTCCTATCATGTGACAGATTTGAACAATGCGTTGGGTAATAGTTTCAGTTTTGGCAGGGGAAAAAAGAGGCAACTATTTTCATTGGTATTTTCATCAATAAACAGCAGCAAACAATCGGTCCATTCATCTGAGGTAACACTTTTATGCATAAAAGGTCTAGAGGGATCTGGTGCCTATTTCCAGAAATGAAGGGATGAGATGCAGGACTGCACTGTGGACAAGTCACAACAGCAACACAGACAAGATGGCAATCATTGGAAATGAAGTCTCCTCATTTTACGTCACCAGAAGACTCTGAGTCCATCCTGGCACTGAACAGGTGCTTGGAACAAATTAGTATGTGGATGTTATCACAATGTTGACCAAAAAATAGAACTGAAGTTCTTATCTTTGAACATAAACAGGAACAATCCAGAGTCAATACAACAGATATTACAGATAGAAACTAGAGATCAGGCATCTGGGAAATCTGGGTGTTGTGACGGATTCTGACTTGAACCTTTAGAGTCACATTAAGACAGTTACAAAGTCAGCCTTCTATTGCCTTCAGAACAATTCTGGTGAGATCTAGAGAAACTTATCCATGCGTTTCTCTTCAGTCGCATTGATTACTGTGACAGCCTGTCTTCACAGATCTAAAAAAAATCAATCCTCCGGCTGCAGCTGATCCAGAACGCTGCCGTTTGCGTTCTGACTAAAACCAGGAAGTTAGAGCACATCTCCCCAGTTCTAAAGTCCCCACACTGGGGACAGCTCAGAGAATAAACTTTAAAATACTTATTTTAGTTTATAAATCACTGAATGGCTTAGCAACAAAATAAATAAAAATGTGTAGAGTGGTCTGTCTCAACCCTCCAGGTTGAGACAGACTCAGGTCTTCTGGTTCTGGTCCAAATCTTTCATAAACACTTTCATAAACCTTGTAGAAAGCCTTCCTATGAGGACTGAAACAGCATAGGGTGTGTCGACATCATCTTAAACCTCGTGGATTAACTATAGGATGTTACTCAAGTTCACACATTGTGAGGCAGGTATAGTTTGCTTGGGAAAATGTAAGTATTGTGATTCATTCCAGCAAGAGTCGATGCACTGAATGCTATCATTTTTTAAAAGTTATTTTTGATGCAACAGCACATGCAGCAGAATAAACGTCTTATCGCAAACTGGTTATTGATATGAATGAAGTAGCAACATTTCGCCACTTGTTAGAAAATGCAGGTGTCTCTATTTCTGTTGTAGCTGCAATTCACTGCTTCAAAAGTGTCAGCAGCAGCTCACTGACATTATTACACTGGTCACAGCTCAGCTTTTATAAGATGATTTATATATATCTCAAAGTTAAAGAAAGTAGCTGCAGATTTTGACCTGGAAAAATAATTGAAATTTTATATATTTATTTAAAACAGATTAATACCCAATTTCTCCTTGAATTAAATATTAACTCAAATATTTATATATATATAAAACAATACTTTTTTGTTTTTCCATCTGTCGTTTGCACACAAATAGAAACTGGAAAAAATAGTAAAAATTGTCTGAGTGGATACAGATAAAAAAAATATTTATATAAGTGTAGTTTGGCTCCTATGCATAAAAGTGCAACGTGTTTCTTTAATAAAGGACAGTTTCGTGTCACATTCTCTGCTGCACCCAAACTCCAGCTCGCTCTCATTCTAGGAATTTTCTCACCAAATCGAGAAATGAACGCTCTCTTTCTAATAATTTTCACTTCTCCTGAGATGTTGCAGCTGCAGCTGATAATGACAGAACATTTTGCTCTTTGTAGGGAACATGTTTCTCAGAATTTTTCTTTCTTTCTTTAATCAGAACAGAAAACTGAATGAAAGTGATTCGCTTTGCGTTCATACCTGGAACTAGTTCACTAAGTTCTTTCAATGGGATAGTTTTAAAGGAGTTAAGCAAATAATAATTTAAGATCATTTATACATGCATCACTTTGTATGCTGCTCATTTTTTACAGTTGTGCTGTAGCTTTGATACATCAAGAAAAACCTGAATTAAACAATTGAGTGATTACTAAATGAAGTGGGAGGTGTGTAGACCTTTTTAAAGTGAGATTCCAGTTATCACTGGTTTCTAAACTTACTTCTCCAGCTGCAGGCTCCTGCACCAGCATCTCTCTTGTTAAAAAGCAAAATGCCACCCCTTCTTTATGTGAGAAAGTTGCAAAGCATTGCACAATTTTTGAGAGGCGGGACAGGAGCAGGGACTGTAACTCATCAAGCTTTATAGCTCTCTCTCTCTCTCTCTGCATGATCCAAGGAAGTTGGATCGGCTCCAGATGAGAATGTTGAAACAGGTTTGGACACACCCTTGGGTTACAAGTCTGAGCTCATTTGTGCTTTAAATTAAAACTTTGAATAGACTGAATCTAGAAAGATTACTATGTCTGGAATTTATAAATCTTTGTTGTGGGAACAATTTTAATTAATAAGTTTACAGACTCGCCATGGCAACATTTTTTGTTATTTTTTTGTGCCTTTTGTCTGTAATCCTACAAGGAATTACCTCAGTCAATTTCAAGAACAATACTTGGGTCACAAGTTTGAATGTTTTTGTGTATTTACTCCAGAAATACACAGCTGAACCCAAGTCTCTTCCACATTTTCTGCAGGATGTTTGCTCACTTTCTTGATAAAACAAGCCTTTATATTGTTGTTTGTTATTTTCATTTGGGTTCCTGAAGCTTGATGAAAGTCTGCTTTATTCATTCCAAAGTTAGTTTTATGTCTGTTTAAATTAATTATCCAATTACGTCCAAGTTTCAATCATCAGGCCAGATCAGCCTGGCAGCCCCAAAGCATGATGTTCCCACCACCATGCTTTACAGTCTCAAATCCCTCCAAACGTAATTTCTGCTCACTGAGGCCAAATCGCTAAATCTATAGAGGTTTGACAGTCTTAATTAGCAAAATGGCATCTCATTTCTCCATGTCTGCAAATTTCAGTCGAGCTTGAAGCTTTTATTTTTGTCCATCTCAGTTCAATCCTTGGTGATTAAATTTGATTTAATTTGCGGTTTCCATGGTGAGTCCTGGGTTATTTTCAGTAGGTTAATGATTTGACAATATACATAAAAAAGATTTTTAAATGGATAAAACAGAATTGCATTAAGCTTCTTGAATGGTATCAGCTTCAAACCTTTTGAAATGTAAAGTTTATTCTGCAAACCAGAGCCACATTAGGAAACCAGCCAACTTAAATGAACTCTTATTGCAACAGTGCTCAAATCTATGCCAGAAACTTGATGATGGAAATAAAAAAAAACTTTCAAAAGGACATTTACAAAAACATAAGAGAAGATCTAAATGTATTACATCAGACCTTATGTGCACAAATGTTTGTTTTTGAAATTCAGCAATTTTTTATGTGATTCTTTTGATCCTAAAAAGACCGAATGTCTTAAAAGCAACAAAAAAGGCAAACTTGTATTTGATGCTGCCTGAAAATGTATCACCAGGTCTGGAGATTTGTTGCATTTTCCAAAGCGCCTCCT